CTCTTCGTCTGTTGACCCAATAGATGCGTTCATGGAACTTCTGCACGTTTGGCTGGAAGGCTTTTGTCTCTCCACCAGTGGGTATCTGCTTGGTTCTTGTTTTTTTGTTTTGCACGCACACACACACACACACGCGCGCGCGCACACACACACTCGGGCACGCACACACAAGCGCACACACCCACGCACACATTCGTGCATGCTAGTGTACTGTACATTTATGCTCAGACTGCTCAGAAATACTGACAGTGTAGCAATGTCACACCCCCTTGATCTTTCCTGACAATCAATACTCTTCCTCCCTCCTTCATTCAAAACCTGACTAGTGCCTTTGGAGCTATAGCTCCGGGGTAGAGCATTTGTCTAACATCAGCACAAGGCCCTGCTGGGTGCCATCCCCAACACGAAGAGGAAACAGGATTAAAAACTCCCTAGAAAATTAACCAGAACTCCATCAGTATTTGCCTTTCAAACTATCTCACTTCATAGACAGAGGCTTTCCCAAAGGCAGAGGAAGCAGAAAGCGCTACCTGGGACCTCGTCTGTGGCTGCTGTGCCTCCTTGTGGCCACATGGTGGCACTATTGCATCCTTAATAGGCTCGGCCTCATACTGCGAACCTGTCTGCTCGCGCTGCTCTTTGCAGGCATGGGTCCCAGTCCAGACTTCGAGGCCGGTTAGCTTATAGTCCCACGGGTTTTTTGTTTTTATGTTTTCCTTTGGCTCCCAGGTGGTCAGCTCTAACCCTTCTTCCCAGGACACCAGCCCGAGTGTCCTGCCCTGCTGAGTTCCATTTGGAGAACTCCAGGCTGCCCTTATCTTCCACTGAGCTAGGAAGAGGGCCTACTGGGATTTCTGGAATGTGACCACGTACCTTGTAGAACAGGCATAGGGGGCTGGGTGTGTGCAGAAAAGCATTCACAAGAGGCTTGGGGACACCATGTTAGCAAAAGCCACTAGTAATCCAGCCCTCCTGGAATTCGGGCGCTAATTAGGCAGTGTCCGCGGGTCTGGTCTCCCTTCCTCACGCTCTCAAGTCGGGCTCTGGCATACCTTTGTGGTAGCCCGCACTTCAAATGCGTTGTTGCAGATTGTTGCTGGAAACACGGAGCCCCAAGCTCGCCCTCAAGAAGACTGCTGAAGCCTGTCCTGGCTTCCTCTGGACCTTGCCCCAGAACCTTGTTCTTTGCCGCTCTTGAATGTCACTGTCATTGTAGGGGACTTGAGCGTTTTTGCTTGCATGAATGTATGTGCACCATGTGCGTGCCTGGTGCCTGCAGAGGCCAGAAGGGGGCGTCAGATCCCTTGGAACTGGAGTTCCAGATGGCTGTTATTAGCCACGGTGGTGCTGGGAACCCACCTGGGTCCTACATGAAGCTTAAAAAAAAAAAAAAAAAAGACACTGTGTGTGTATATATACAAGTGTGAATGTATCACTGTGTGTGTGTGTGTGTGTGTGTGTGTGTGTGTGTGTGTGTGTGAAGTCAGAGGGCGACTTTCTGGAGTGAGTTCCCTCATTTCATCACCTGGGTCCTGAGGACTGAATTCAGGTCATCAGGCTTGGTGGCAAGTGTCTTTACCCACCTAGCCATCTCACCGGCCCATATACTTATATGCCTTTAATCTAATCATAAGTCTGGTTATTTCCTTAGGCAGGAATTACTGGGTCAAAGGGCATGGAATTATTATTATTGTTGTTGTTGTTGTTGTTATTTTAAAGGGATTCTTGATGGATACTGACAATGTGAAACCTCTTTGGCCAGGACACAATGAGAAACTGATGATGAGTCCATTCCCAGCATGGCCAGGGCCCATCCAAGCCTGTGCAACTGTGGGGGGTGGGGGTTTCTCGGGTGTCACTTATGCTTGGGATATTGGAAAGCCCCAGAACTTTTGTTTGCTGCAGGCCAGCTAGGAACTGCCGCTAGGAACTGCCGCTGACCCGCGTTCATGACTTTCGTGACCACTGTCTCTCCTCTCTCCCCCATTGATTTGAGGATGCTGAGGATGGATCTGTGATGTGGGATTTTGAGCCTCGACCCAAAGCTCCTGTTTTAGAATGCAGTATCACGGCTGACAACAGAAGGTGACATCTGATCTGTTTTACCCTGGTTGGGAAAAGTAAGAGTCAGCAGGCAGGCCAGGATACTTTGTCAGGCAGTGACAGGTTTTTGTTTGTTTAAGCAAATATACAACCACCTTTCCCTGTTTGGGCCTCAGTGTTTCAGTGGGCTGAGAATCAAGTGAGCGTAACAATGTAACCCGCACTCTGAAAGTTGAAATTGCTTAAAATAGAGCTTAAAATGTAGCTAAGAACCAGGCTTCTGTTTTCATTTCTCCCTTGCTTTATCTCCTCCTCCTCCCCCTCTCCCCCTCCTCCCCTCCCTTGCCCCTCCTTCTGCTTCTTTGAGACAGGGCCTCACTCTGCAGAACAGCCAGGCTTGAAGCTCAAGGTGTAGCCCAGCCTGCCTCCAACTTGGAGCAGCCTCCTGCCTCAACCCCTCCGGGTGCTAGGATAACGGGCATGCTTGAATTTTCTTCACAAAGTGTCCTCTTTGTGGTCACATGAAGCCTGTGGCGGCTGCACCACAGCTCTGTGGTCTAGCCTGGTCCCTTGCCTTAGTCAGGGTCTCTATTGCTGTGATAAGACCAAAAAGCAAGTTGGGGAGGAAAGAGTTTATTTGGTTTACAGTTCTATATCGCTGTTCACCATTGAAGGAAGCCAGAACAGGAACTCAAACAGGGCAGGATCTGAAGGCAAGAAGGGGGCTGCACCCTGGCTTACTCCTCCTGGCTTGCTCCGCCTGCTTTCTTATAGAACCCAGGTCCAGGCCAGGGATGGCGGCACCTGCAATGGGCTGGGCCTTCCATTAATACTAACTAAGAAAATGACCTACAACTTAATCTTATGGAGACATTTTCTCAATTGAGATTCCTACTTTCAGATAACTCTAGCTTGTGACAAGCCGATATAAAACTGGCCTCATTTTTTGTTGATTTATTTATTTTTATTTTATGCATATGAATGTTTTGCCTGAATGTGAGTGCGCTGTGCGCATGCCTGGTGCTGCAGAGGCCAGAAGAAGGCACCATATCTCTGGGAACTGGATGATAGTGAGTCATCACATTGATCGGTACAGAGAACCAAACCCAGATCCTCTGGAAGAGCAGCCAGGGCTCTTAACCTCTGAGCCATCTCTCCAGCCCCCTGGAGATATTTTTATAAGAGGGAAATCTTTGCCATGCGCCACATGATTAGACAAAGGTACACATGCTGGTCAGAATTTTTGTCTCTGGGACAAATCCTGAGACAAACAACTTCAGGGAAGATTTGTTGGAGCTCAGGATTTTACAGGTGACACACACAGGTGACCAGTGGTCAAGCATGATGTCACAGCAGAGGATGCAGTGTGGCAACCCAGAAGCCTCAGAGACACAGGACGATACCAGGGACAGGATGTGTGCCCTTCAAAGACACACCCTGGGCAGTCACTTCCTGTCACCTGTCACCTGTCACCTGTCCCACGCCCTAGCTCACACCACCTCCCAGTAATGCCATCAAAGCACGAACCCATCAGTGGGTCAGTCCTGAGTAAAGGCAGACCCTCAGCAACACCCCCAGCAACCAACCCCTCCCCCAAGCCACACAGCCCGCTGGCCATCGGCCCTTCAACTTGTGAGTCCTCCTGGAAGGGAAGGTTCACATCCAAAACACAAGAGGACATATATTTGCATGGCTCTCTCTGAATGCGTGAGAGCACTTCAGAACACAGCAAGCTGTCCAGGAAAGCATTTCCCTTTAGCAATGGTGGGAACTGTGCAAGTCTTAAGATTTGGAAAGATGCCCTTAAAAGAAAGCAGCAAATGAAAGCAGAAGAAATTTTGTACCGATCTATATATTTTTTTCTTTTAAAGATTGTGTGTGTGTGTGTGTGTGTGTGTGTGTGTGTTCTGCCTGTTTGTGTGTCATATGTGTGGTGCCTGTGGAGCCAGAAGGGAGTGTTGGATCTCCTTATATTGAAGTTACAGACAGTTGTGAACTGCTATGTGGTTGCTGGGAATTGAACCTAGGCCCTCTGGAAGAGCAGCCGGTGCTCTTAAGCCCGGGGCCATCTCTCCAGCCCCTAAAATGTTATTTTTATAGCCTTAAATATAGAAGACTATTTTGGAGTGTCTGAAAGGTAAGAAAGATAATGGTGCCAGGCTGTCTTTGATGCTATTAGGTACCATTTTCGGGGAGCGGGGGGGGGGGGGAGTGGTGTACAAGTCCCCAGTGTCGTTTGCAGAGAATCTTTGGAAAGATCCATTTGGTCCTAAATTATATATATAAAAAAAGAAGAAGTAAGAACCCTCATAGGAACCACAGGCTCCAGCAACACTATTGTCAAGATGCAATGTTTGATCGATTCTTCCAGGATCGTTGCATCATCTTATGATAAAACTGTGAGGGCTTGGGATGTCCAGACGGGGCAGCTTCTGGTACGTATGCCTTAGTGAGGGTGTCACAGTACAAAATCATGGCTGGGCTTTGGTGGCTGTGGGCTGGACCTAGGGTTGGGGACAATGACAGAAGCCCCAAGTCTTCCAGGAAGAACGTTTTCTCACTTGCCGTTAAGGACAAGCACTGATGGAAGGTGAGTATTGGGCAAGAAAGGCTTCTGCCCCAGGCAGGTCAAGGGCAGACTGAGAGTGGGTTGGGTGTGGCACCCCTGTGAGCCATTTGGAGCTGGAAGAGGGGCTGAAGCCGCAGAGCAAAGGCGATGTGGCCTTTCCCAGTCTCTTCTCTCTGTGTCACAGATGGGGCCACGGCCCACCTCTCCCAACAGTCGCAGGATTCTTTTATTGTGCTGTCCCAACCCCGGGCTGTCTCAGCCCTCCTTAGGGTCCTCCGGTACCTTCAGTATTGCTACCTACCCACACCTACCTTCCCTTGCTTCTCTCTCAGCCAATATTCATCAACCCCCTGTCCACTTTCCTTAAAGACAACTTTTCTATCCGGGCATGGTGGTACACATCTTTAATCGCAGCTCTCAGGAGGTAGAGCCAGGCAGACCTCCAGGAGTTTCTTGCTAGCCTGGTCTACAGAGTGAGACCCTCTCTTTCTCTTTTTTCTCTCTCAAAAAAAGAAAAAGCAAACACGCACCTTTCTAAATTGTTGCAGCGGTGGTGTACACCTGTAATCTCAGCACTGGAAAGGCTGAAGTAGGAGGAGCCCATTTTCAAGGTTAGCCTGGGCTACATAGAGAGATCCTCAATAATGCGAGTGCTAGGGAAATTTGAAGTACTTATTGCTCTTTCAGAGGACCCAGATTTGGTTCTTGGCATCCACATAGCAGCTCACAATCCTGAAACTCCAGTTCCAGGAGATATGGTGCCCTCTTCTGGCCTCCATAGGTACTGCATGCACATGGTGCATATACATACACGCAGGCAAAACACCCAGACACAAGATAAGTGAATCTTAAGAGGGAAGAGGAGGTGGAACAAAACCCAAATATTTAACCTTTCCCCATTGTGAACATTTTAAGGATTATCCAGAGATTACACTCAACATGTTGGTATGCCTTTTCTTGTACACATTTGCTTCAAAGTGCAGGTATTTTTGTTTTTGACTTGCTATACAGCCCAGGCTAGCCTAGAACTCTTGATCTTTCTGCCTCGGCCTTTGAGGGCTAAGATCATAGTATGTACCACCACAGCTGACTTCTGTCACCCTTTCTAATTAGTGGGCAGGACTTAGCAGTGATGGGTTAGACCCTGCTTCACTGTCCTCTATAACAAGGAACATATAGGTATATATGTATAAGGATTACACACACACACACAGAGTTTGTGTCTGTACCTGTGTGCATGCCATGGCATGTAGATGGAGATCAGAGAACAGCTTGTTGAAATCGGTTCTCTCCTTCCACCATGTGGGCTCTGAGTATCTCAGGTCTCCCAGTTTGTCAGCCTTTGCCCCAGAGCCAATGCTCCTGTGTGGCCGACACAACTATTGCTAAGCAGAGTTGGCATGAATCTATTATTGTTATTTTAAATTTGTCTCTGTGTATGTGTTTGTGTGTTCGCGCACGCGAGTGTGTGCATGTGTGGGCACACAAATGCCAAGCTGCACTTGGGCAGTCAGAGAAAAACACTGGGGGTTGGTTCTTAGGTTCTGTTATTCTTGACACAAGGTTGGCTTCTCTCTCTCTCTCTCCCCTCTCTCTCCTGGGTGTGTCTGTCTGTCTCTATCTCTGTTTCTCTCTCTCCCTCCCCCTCTCTCTGCATACAACAGACTAGCTGCTCTCAAGCTTCTGTGGAGTCCCCTGTCTCTGGCCCCATCTCCTCAAAGGAGTGCTGGGATTACAGATGCTTGTTATGTCCTCTGACTTTTACATGCATCCTGGGGGATCCAAACTCTGGCCCTCACATTTTCAAACTCTGGCCCTCATATTTTCACAGATCTTACCTACTGAGCCATCTTCCTAGTTCTGCCTATCTATATACACACATGCAAATATGATTGATTTTGTGTGTAGACATGTGCACCACATGAGTGCAGGTACCTCTAATGACCAGAAGAGGGCATCATATCCCCTGGAGCTGGAGCGATAGGAGCCTCTTGATATGAAGGCCGAAACTGAACCAGTCCTCTGTAAGAACAGCAGCTGTGCTTAACAGATGAGCTATCTCCCCAGTCCTACATATATAATGGGCTTTGGCATCTCATTGCTATTGTAAGCAGTATAGAAACACAAACCTTAATCAAATCTTCCCAGACAGCTGTGCCAACTCACAGCCTAGGCATTAAAGAAGGGGGTACTGCCTCCCATCCTCATGGGCAGGTGTCATAAACTTACAAGAATTAGCCATGCTTCGGGGAGAGAGAGAGAGAGAGAGAGAGAGAGAGAGAGAGAGAGAGAGAGAGAGAGAGAGAGAGAGAGAGTTCTATGGATCATTCCTGACTTTGAACATTTTGTCCAAATGTTTCTTCTGCTACAGTTGACCCACCGTTGCCTTTAGCTAACATTTCTATTTCAAGTACCTTTCCGTTTCAAAAAGTCCTTTTATTTATTTGTATTGCACAAGTCACCCATGACCCTGGCCAGCATTAGGGATGAGATGACTTAGTGCATGAAGGCTGCTTGACAAATGGCTCCAAAACTTGGTTGCCTTAAACAGCCAACATTTCTTTTTTTAACCTCCACAGTTTCCAGAAATCTAGAAGCAGCTTAACAGGGTGGTTCTGGCTTCAGCCTCTTCTTAAGTCACGGTGATGATGTCATCTGGGGCTACGGTCGCTCGCGTTAAGGCCCATCGGGGCGGAAAGATCCCTTTCCAAGATGGCTTGCTCCCACAGTTGTTGGCAGGAGGCCTCTGTTCATATCCTTGTGGGTCCCCAGGGCCACACAGAGCTGTGTGTGTGTCCTTAGGACATGACAGTTAACTCTCATGAAGCATCTGATCCAAGAAAGAACAAAGAACAAGCCACAATTACCCTCTCCCCTCTCCTCTTCCCTCCCTCCCTCTCTCTTTCTGAGATTCAAGTTGGCCTTGAACTCAACATTCTCCTGCCCCAGCCTGCCATGTCCTGGGATTACAGGCATAGGGGTACAGCACTATGCCCAGCTTCTTTTTACTTTTCCTTTTCCTTTTTTTTTTTTTTTTTTTTTTTTTTGGATGCTAAACACACACCATACCACAGCTCTATAGCTCTCTAAATTACCCCTCTCTCCTTCTCCCCTCCCCTCCCCTCTCTCCTTTCCTCCCTCCCTGTCTCTTTGAGGTAGGATCTCACTTGTAGCCCAGGTTGGCTTTGAACTTGCCTTGCCATCCTCTGCTTCAGCCTCCCTAGTGCTGGGATTACAGATATGCCGCACCACACCCAGCTTCAATGATTGCTTTCTGAATGCAGTGCCTGCCACATGGCCCCTTCTGCCACATTCTACCCAGCAGAAGTGAGCTTTGGTCCGGCCATATGTAATAAGGGGACAGCTGGGCTCAGTGCGTTAGGAAGGAATCTGAGGACACACCTTGAAGCGGGGGACGGCTGACCAGCTGCACTGTCCTCTTTGGGCTCTGCCTCGTTCCAGTGGAAGATCAGGCATGACACCTTCGTGGTGTGCTGTAAATTCTCTCCCGACGGGAAGTACGTGCTCTCTGCCTTGGACGTGGATCGAGGGATCTGCTTAATGGATCCAAATAACATCACCACCGTGATCCAGGTCAAAGGTGAGGTTGCCAGGCTCCCTCCACACAGCAGCAATGCCTCCCCACTTGATCAACTGGTTTCTATGGTGGGGCTGCCAGGGTGAGGGCCACACTGTGAGCCCGCGTGCTCCTGCTACTGGACACCAGGGATTGCAGCTCGTGGACGCAGGAGGGTGGGGAGTTCAAGATATCCCTTAAGTCCCGTACCTACACGTGTCTCCACACATCACTGTCCTGGGTGACGCCATGCTATTGTGATGTAGTGTGTATCCATGGGGAGAGGCAATGCAAGATTTCTCCACGTTATTCCTTATACTTATATGGTAACTTTGCAGTTTTCTCAAAATGAAAATTGAGAAAACCATTGCTTAAAAAAGAAAACACAAAAATCAAGTAAGTAAAAGCTGGCTGGATCTGTTTTATATTCTTCTTGGAAGTGTTTATTGTTATTTTGTATGTGTGTGATGAGGGGATGGAACCAGGGTTTTGAACATCCCAGGCACATGCTTTACCACTGAGCCACACCCTCAGCCCCTCACTGGGGGATTCTAGGCAGGGGCTCTACCACTGAGCCACACTCCAGTGTGGTATTATTAATAGTGCACTGTTAGGTGATCTTTCCGAACTTGGGTGTGTGTGTGTGTGTATTTCCCATAAGTCTTTGGGTTTTTTTATCATATTACTTTTCATCATTTTGCACTTGCCTATTAATGGATTACTTCCTATTCTCCCTTCCTTTCACACTCCCAAGTCCTAGTTACATGCCTACCTTCTTCACACTCTAGCCCATCTCCAGAAATAACACCCTTGATAACTTAGAGGTTCTTTGCAGCCAGAAACTGCTGTGCACTCATGGCTCTTGGCATGAAGAGGGTCATAACCTGCTCAGGGTTCCCTCTTCAATTGAGCTGGGGGCTGTGTGGTTGCATGTAGCTAGTGGGCTGGGCTGGAAGCCTGTCATATAGTAGACAGGGAATGCTTGTGAGCAAACTGGGATTGTTGTTACAGCATCGCTGGGTGGTGGAGGCTTTCCCTTGAGGTTATAGGGCACTTTCCTTTTGCATAGGTCACCACAAAAGGTCCATCACAGCCTGCTGCTTTGACCCTGACAGCCAGAAGGTGGCTTCCGTCTCTATGGACAGGTGTATCAAGATCTGGGATATCACCTCTCAGGCCACGCTGTTTACCATACCCAAGTGAGAAGGGTTCTGGGGGTGGGGGTTGCTGTGGGCTGCAGGAAGGTGGGAGAGATGTCCGTCTGCATTCCCTCCTGGATTCCACACACAAGCCGTGTCCCAATGGAGGTGTCGCCAGGGTGGTCCCATGGTGGGGAGTCCCCAGGGAGCCAGAGAGAAGCCACCAGGGTAGCTTAAGGGCTGAGCCAGGCAGGGTCTCAAGTCTTTGTTTCAAGGTGAACTCTTTCTTACCGGCAAACTTGCCCAGAGCCTCCATGAAAATGAGAAGTCCAGGGCCAGGAGTGGTGGCACCCGCCTTGAATCTGGGTGCTTAGGGCACAGAGGCAGGCAGATCTCTTCGAGGCTGAGAGTTCAGCCCGGCCCACACCCCGACAGCTAGAGCTACATAGTAAGAGCCCCGTTTCAAAGCAACCACACAGTGAATTACAACCAGGCCCGGTGGCACATGCCTGCCATTCCAGCACGTGGAGGCGGAGACTGACAGTTCAAGGCCAGTCTAGTCTACGTGGTGAGCCTCGAGTCTAAAATGGGAAGCTCAGGACCCCGGCGACCCTTGCTGGTGGCCGCTGCCTAGTGGGTGAGTCCTCTGTAGCACGTGCTGGTGTCACTTGAAGGGACCACATACAGACCTGTCACCCTGCCTGCCCTGCTCGGTTCCTCCTTCCTGGTCCAGCATGGACTGAGGGACCGCAGAGGAAGAGGGCCCTTTGGGCATGCCGTGTCACGTGGATGCTTAGGGGAACACTGAGGCAGGGGGGCTGTGCGCCCTGCTTCCCTTGCTCCTTACAGCACTCTGTGCCAGCCATGAGGGATGGAGCAGCAGAGGCTGTGGGCAGAAGCCGTGATCCATTTTGCTCAGTTGCGCTAATGAACACCGTGGCAGCAGCGGGGCAGTTTAAATGCATGCCTTTCGGAAATGGGGCTTTTTAGCAAGCAAATGGAGAGGTGAGAGTCTCAGAGTGTCAGCAGCGCAGGTTAGCTTTCCGGGCTGAGGTCTCTGGGGCCGTGCAAGAGACCATGCTTCATTTCAGGCGTTGCTGTCGACGTGGCTAGATTCTTAGCAGCTTTTGATGAGAGCATGCGACTTTTTATTTTTTTTTTTTAACTTATAAATTTATGAGAATGTGAGGCATAACACAGCACCAAAGTTTGGAAGGTACAAGAGAAGATGACAGCACAGTGATGAGCATCTCTGAGCTTGCAGACATTCGGTTTTCCCTCCCCAGCAGTTTACTACCTCACTCTCTTCTTGCCTGACTGTCACACTGTACAATCCACCCATGGAGAGTACCTTTAGGGGCCAGCGAGATGACTCAGCTGCTGGAGGGGCTTGCTGCCTAGACCAATGACTTGAGTGTGATCCCTGGGACCCACAAGGTAGAAGGAGAGGATTGACTCCTGGGAGCTTAACTCTGATCAGCCACTCTCACAACCACACACACACACACACACACACACACACACACTATAATAAATGTAACAAAAAATAAAAATTAACCAAGTAGTTTGGGGGAGATAGCACATTCATTACTTATGATGAAATGCATGCAGCATAAATTTTGACCATTTTTTTTTAGCACACAGTTCACTGGATTAATAATTGCATTCACAGTATTTTGCAACCTTTGCTATCTATTTCCAAAATGTTTCTCCACACCAAAGGGAAACTGTATCCATTAAGCAATGACTTCCCGCTCCCGGAAGCCCCTGGGAGCCCTTATTTCACGTTCTGCCTCTATGAATTTGCCTAGTGTAGATAGTTATATAAATGAAATCATATTTGTCCTCAAGTAACTGACTCCTTTCACTTAATATCTTCAAGATTCGTCCCTGCTCTAGCACATAGCAGAACTTCATTTCTTTCCCTAATTACATATAACTCCATTACATATTAATATACACACATACGCATATATACTGATAGACATCTACCATGTTTATCGGTCTGTTGATGGGCACTTGATATATATATATATGTATATATGTATATACATATATATGTATTATATATACACATCTGTATATAAACACACACATCTATATGTATAGGTAACATAACCCTTTATTGATTCTTTGGGAATTTCACATCATGCACCCCAGTCCTGATTATCTCTTGGTCCCTCTATGTCTGCCCCTCACCCCTGCAGTTTTCCCCGCTAAAAGAAAACTCCCCCACATTGATTAAAAACAAAACGAAATGAACCACCTCACTCCTCCATCTTTCCCGTCTCTCCAACGCCTCTGCCTTGGTCCTGGTGGCACTGGGAGCTGCGGTGTGTCACACAGTATACTCACTCTTTTGTCCAACCAGCCCCACCCACAAATGTTCACTGCAATGAGTTCTTGGTCTGGTCCGTGGCCTCTGGGCTCTGGTGGACCACATCACAGGACCCTTACCCAAATCCCTCTTGGATACCCTGCTGTGGGCACTTTTTTATGCATCTATTTGGGCCCCTGTTTTCAATTCTTCTGGAGATGGTGGGTCCAATGGAAGAACTATGTTTGTTTACCTTTGTTACTTTTTAAAATGTTTACTATTATTTTACGTGAATGGGTATTTGGCTCGCATGTATGCCTGTGCACTGCTTGTGTACAGTGCCTGTGGAGGCCGTAAAAGGGTGTCGGGTCTTCTGGAACTGGGGTTACAGACAGTCGTGAGCAGCCATCGAATGTCACTAGAACGCTGAAAAAAGTGGTCTGTATCTTTCTCCCATGTCTGCCTTCCTGTCTAATGTTCTAAGTTCTCTTAGTCCATTATTCCTTTCTACTTAGAAAAAGGACTCTTATCTAGAGGACCTGAGTTCAATTCCCTGCCACCACATGGTGGCTCAAGGCCATTTGTAATGAGATCTGGTGCCCCTTCTGACCTGCAGGCAGACGCGCAGGCAGAACACTATACAAAATAAATAATCTAATCTTAAAAAAAAAAAAAAAGAAAGAAAGAAAACAACTCTTGAGCTTTTTTTCTTGTGTGTGTGTGTTTTGTTTGTTTGTTTTTTGTATTGTTTTGTTTTGTTTTGTTTGAGACAGGGTTTCTCTGTGTATCAGCCCTGGCTGTCCTGGAACTCACCCTGTAGACCAGGCTGGTCTCAAACTCAGAGATCCGCCATCACCATGACTCGACTTCTCTTGAGCCATTAAAAAACAAAACAAAACATTTTTTAAAACAATTATTTATCTTGAGTGTGAGAGAGAGGAGGGAGAGAGGGAGGGAGACACACACACACACACACAGAGTTGTGTGTGTATTCCTATGGCACATGCATGCCAAGTGAGGAAGACTTGCAGAAGTTGGCTCTCTCCCCACACCACGTGGGTCCTGGGACCCTCGCTCAGGTTTTGAGCTCTTGGGCTTCCGTAGCTTTAGAGGCTGAGCCATGGTCTCCACTCTCGAGTGTCTTGCTGGCCCACTACTCTTGAGGGCAGTAAATTCTTAAGTATTTCCCCTGGGCAAGCAAGGAGGCGGCACACGCCTTTCTTCCCAGCACTCAGGAGGCAGCGGCAGGAGGATCTCTGAGGCCAGTCTGGTCTACACGGTGAATCCCAGAACAGTCAGAGCTACTCAGAGAGGCCGTGGAGGAAGAATTTTCATCTGCCAATGCCTCAACTGAAGAATATCTGGCTGGGTGTCTTCTTGGTTAACATTCCTTTCCCCTTCCTTCCTTCCTTCCTTCCTTCCTTCCTTCCTTCCTTCCTTCCTTCCTTCCTTCCTTCCTTCCTTCCTTCCCTCTCAGACTGCCTTCCTTCCTTCCTCTCAGACTGGTCTCATTGTGTTGTCCCAGGCTGACTTCGAACTCACAGACTAGTCTGGCTTGAAAGTTACAGTGCAGCTGCCTCCTGGAGGCTGGGATTGCAGGTGTGGATGGTGCTTTTCTACCCTACAAACTGTTGGGTCGCTTTCTTCTGGCCCCAGGATTTCTTCTTTCTTAACATTTTAGAAATTGATTTATTTTATGTGTGCACTATGTGCTTGGCGCCTGTGGGGGTAGGATCAAGGTGTCAGGTTCTCTGGAAATGGAGTTTTGCGCCACCTTGTGGGTGCTGGGAAATGAACCCGCGTCTCTTTTGGAAAGGCAGCCAGCACTCTTAACCATTGAGCCACCTCTCCAGTCCCACCTCCAGGGTTTTGAGGAGAAAGCAGTCCCTGCGAGTGCTTTCCCACCACAGCTTAAATTTCATCCATCTCTTGCTGCTTTAAAGCGGTTTTCTTTGGGAGGTGACATCCTCTCTCCATCCGGGGCCCCATCGGCAGGGCTCTAGGGTGCCCTCGGACGGTGTGCTAGCATGAACCCCGCCTTTGTTTCAGGGCACACGCCAACACGATCTCGGACTGCTGCTTCAACTTCAGTGGCCATTTCCTGTGTACCAGCTCCTGGGATAAAAACATAAAAATATGGAATATCCACTCGGGGGAGTTCCGAAACCGCGGAGCCTGTGTGACTCTGATGAAGGGCCATGAGGGCTGTGTGAGTTCCTGCTGCATTGCCAGAGACAGTGAGTGACCGGCACGCACAGGGGCCCCGCCCCTTCCTCCCGCTCCCCTTTCATGCTCTCCCCTGCCCGCTCCCTCGAGTGTTGCACCCGGAGGGTTGGGATTGAAAATGTGTGCCACAGAGAAGCCGGATTCACCCTCATTTACCACACGTACACTGCGAGACAGAACTCAGCTGGTTCCTTCCTGGTCTATTTGTGGGGATTTTCCTGGGCAGAAAAGCAGTGACTCCTCCCCATGATTCTAGCAGGAAGGGTGGTTGGTGCCTCTTCCACCCCATCCCAAGCGCCCCAAGCCCAGAGAGGAATTCGTGGACACATTTTCAGTGGCAGGAACCCCAGCTCAATGTGGCTTAAACCACAAAAGAAACTTTGTTTTTGTTTTGTTTTGTTTTTGAGTGTGTGTAAAATATTATTCAGATTGCCAAAATGTGATTGGTCTTTAAATAATTTGCTTGTTGAAGTACAGTTATCTGGCTCTCACACAAGACCAACAGAATTCCACTCTTTGGAGGGGGGGGCTGCAAGATTCTGCGTTTGATAAGCTCCCCGGGGTGCATATAAATAACAAGAACCCCGGCCTTAAAGGAACACTTGTCAATCCTGGATACCGAATGTCCTCTATGGGAAGGATGCTTCCTGCTACGGTCTTTCAGACCAGCGTTCCTCCTCCGGCCCCTTCTGCTGCTCCTCCTTTCCACTCCAGGAGGCAAGGATGGCCTAGCGTGTCTCCAAGGCACTCTGGTTCAGGCCACTGGCAATCCTCATGGAAAAGTGAATTTCTGTCTGACGGTGTCCGCTCCAAATCTCGGGGAAGGCTCCCATTGGCTCAGTTTGGGACACACACCCATTTCTGAGCCAATCACATAGCTATGGATGAAAGGCTCTGATTGGCCAGATTGGGAGACTTTTCTGCCTCCAGAGTTAGAGGCGCGGGTTAATACCCTCTGAACCAGAGGTACTGAGAACATGCGGCGAATTTTCCTTACAGGAAGCTGGGGTTCTGCTGCCAGGTGAAGTGACATGAAGGTCACTTCTTCAGTAATGAAGGCGCAGCTAGGGCCCTTTGAGGGAAGTGGCTGCTCAAGAGTGTCCACTTCCCAGCGGGATGGTGTGTGTGTGTGTGTGTGTGTGTGTGTGTGTGTGTGTGTGTGCTCCTCCTGCACATTACAGTTTTTTAATTATGCAACTGTAGAGGCGGGTGTTAGTGGCTCACACCTTTAATTCCAGCACTCGGGAGGCAGAGGCAGGTGGATCTCTGTGAGTTCGAGGCCAGCCTGATCTACAAAGCTAGTTCCAGGACAGACAGGGCTACATAGAAAAACCCTGTCTTGAAAAACCAAAATGAGATAAAATGTGTGTGTAGTGCCTATGGGGACCAGGGCTATCAGATTCCCTGGGGCTGGAGTTACACACCGTTGTGAGCTGCCTGATGCAGGTGCTGGGAACTGAACCTAGGTCTTCTGCAAGAGCAGTATGCACTCTTAACCACCTAGCCGTTGTCTCCAGCTTCATACATATCCTTACTGTTTTAAACTCAAACCGAGATGTGAAATGCCTTTAAATGCCTGTGAGGGCAGGAACGCTGTGATTGGCTTTATGGAGAAAACACACAGCACACAGACACAGCACTGTGAGTTGCACTGAGGCCTGAGATACAGTGATACTGGCCCAGTTCCACACTGGCAATCAACAATACGTATTAGACAGGATGTCTTCACCAGAAATACATGTCAATGGATTAATTTATGAGGACATTGTGACTAGAGACTGGGGGTTTTGTTATTCTTTTTCCATTTTTCATGTGTGTATGTGTAGGTGCGTGTACCTGTAGGGGGGCATGTGTGTGTGTGTGTGTATGTGTATGCCATAACTCTCTTGTCTCATTTACTGAGACAGGGTCTCTCAATCAAACCCAGAGCTCTCAGATTAGGTTAGTCTTGCTAGCCAACTTCTAGGGATGCTCTGTGTTCATCTTCTGGGGCTGGGATTCCAGGTGGGTTGGCATGCTTACCTGGCATTTATGTGGGTTTCTGGGGATCCTAACTCCAGCCCTCAGGCTTGTGTGGCAAGTGTTTCAACCACTGGACCATTTCCCCAGCTCCCTGGGTTTTGCTTGCTTGCTTGCCTTTGTTTTGCTTTTTCCCTTGGGTTTTGGTTTGATTTTAAAATAAGATCTTGGGGCAACTGAGATGGATTAGTGGGTAAAGTTACTTATTGCCAAATCTGATGACCTGAGTTCAATCCCTGGGCCCCATATTATGAAAGGGGAAGAAGCCTCAAAATTGTCTTGATACTGTTCAAACATGTACACACACACACACACACACACACACATCACCACCACCACCACCACACCACCACACATCACATACGCCTCAGCGCTGCATGCCCCCAACCCCAGGTACTGGAGATAGAAGCATTCACCCCCACTTGACCCCCGTGTCTAATGTGAGCACACACTGGCAGGGACTTGAGCCTGCACAGCTCCTAGGAGCAGTGTGACCCAGTGGTTGGCTCATTTGTTGGCGTCCATAACTCCATGTGGCATGACTACCCTGAATATCAAAGGAAGGGCTATAGCTGACTGGGCATCCCCGAGTCACCGGGAAGGGTCCCCAATGTGTTCAGCATGAGCCGCGCCTCACAGATGGCGCTGTGGCCTGCTTTAGCCTTTCCCAGTCGGAGGGAGGGCTGGGCAGGAGAAAACTCTACCCATTCCCTCCTTTTGTGTTGCAGGCTCTTTTCTCATTTCTGGTGGGTTTGACAAGACCGTGGCTATTTGGGATGTAGGAGACGGCTACCGGAAGTTGTCGTTGAAGGTAAAAGTGCCTACACAACATAATGAATCTAATTTTTTTTTCTTGGTGTTGGGGGGAGGAGTAGGATCTTGCTATGTAGCCCAGGTTAACCTCAAACTTAAGGTCTTTCTATTTCAGCCTCCCTAGGGCTGGTATTACGGCTATGGTCTGCCATTCCTGGTGGTGTGGCATCCGATGCTGAGGCTAAGGCAATGAGACAGACCTAGATACCTCCTAGGTGTCCTGACACCTTTGTGGGGAGGGACAGAAACATCAGCAAATTAACCACCGACCATGACGAGGTTGAGAGAAAAATAATAGAGCGATATGGCAGAAAGGGACTTAGGGGCTAATCCACAGTGGGTGAGCGGTGGGGACAGAGGCGGCTCATGATTTGAGATGTGGATGGCAATAGGGAGACTGCAGGGAAGGCACTCAGTAGGGAGGGGTAGGGAGGGAGGAACCCAAGACCCTATGCAGAGCCTCAGAGGCTACCATGGCTTGCCACAGGGGCAAGGGGATTAAACTCCAGGCTTGTGTGGTGAGTGCTTTTACCTTGCCTTTTGCTGAGCACTGCAACCCATCTTCTCCTGTTCCTTTTCTTCCCACCCTACTCTGGTGCCTCCATTTCCATCGGTGAAATGACAGAGGTGGTAGAGATGCCGAGACAGAGCAGTGGCACCTGCCTCCTCTGCTTTTATTTATGATAATTATTATTATTATCTTGTTTTTTTCAAGACAGAGTTTCTCTGTGTAGCCCTGGCTGTCCTGGAACTCACTCTGTAGACCAAGCTGGCCTCGAACTCATAGAGATCCGCCTGCCTCTGCCTCCCGAGTGCTGGGATTGAAGGCATGCGCCACCGCACCAGCTGTGGCTCTGGTTTTATTTTGACCTGAGGAAACCAGCTCCTCATTTGCTTATGCTACTGTGGATGACTCTGTAATCCCTCAAAGCCCAAAGCCCCTCCCTGATGGAGCCTCTGAGTGGCACTTCCCTGAGCAACAAGAGCAAGCAAAGACCTGGGACCAGAGAGGACTATAGTCTTTTATTCCCTTCCTCTGTGGTATGACTTTAAAAACACATACAATACCCTGATAGAGGTAAGTGTGCCCGCCTTCATCGTGGATGGAGCCAAGAATGCGCTATGGCTTGCTGACGTTTTGTTTCTGTTGTTCTTATAAAGCATTTCTCCTCAGTCTTTGTTGAATCATTTTTTGTTCAGGGCCACGATGACTGGGTGACAGATGTTGCCGTTAGCAACAGCAAGAAATGGATCCTCTCTGCTTCAAAGGTAAAAGCGAACAAGCTTTGGCAGACTTAAAAAAATGTTTATCGTATTTGTCGGGCCTGAGATAAGGGGAAATGGTTGTCCCAAGTGTGAAATTCCTAGGCAGTCTGAACTACAGTTTGCATGCCTGTAATCCTAGCATCCAGGAGGCTGAGGTAAGATGAGGGCCATTGAGATGGTTTATTAGGTAAAGGTGCCTTCCACCAAGTCTGACAACCTGGGGCTTGATCCTCAGGACCCACACGGTAGGAACAAAGAATGGACTCCTAGAAGTTGTTCATATGTTGAAGCACGTTCCTGCCCCTAGCCGCCAACAAATAAATAAATAAAAGTTTTTTTTTTTTTTTTTTTTTTTTAAGACAGGATTTTTCTGTGAGCCCTGGCTGTTCTGGAATTCAATTTGTAGACCAGGCTGGCCTAGAGTTCAGAGACCCACATGCCTCCGCACCCACCCCCAGTATTGGGATTAAAAGTGTGCACTACCACTCATGACCCACATAAAAAAATGAAACACACACACACACACACACAGAGGACCTTCCCAGCACCCACATGGTGGCTCACAGCCATCTGTAGCTCCATTTCCGTGGGATCTGAGGCCCTGTAGGCTCCTGAATGCACAAGGTGCATATAAACTCCCACACATTTACATAATTAACTAGAAATAGAGCAGGTTGACCTGAAACATGTAAGGCCCCTGCCTCAGCCTCCTGAGTACTGGGATTAGTGTGCACCGCCCTGGTTTGTTGCTATTGTTTTTTGTGTTGTACATTCTATGAGTTTAGTCAAATACATGCCATCATTACAGTAGCCTATAGAACTACAGAATAATTTTACTGCCTGCAAAATCCCTCACGCTCTGCTTATTCAGCCCCCAGAATTCTTGCCAGCCATTGTTTCTTTTTTAATTGTCTCTTATCACTCTCTCTCACACACACCCCAAACAACAAACACAACATACTACACAAAACACACACATATCACACATCACACACAACACATAGGACACATACAACACACATATTACATATCATACATCACAAGAACACACAGCTCACATACAACTGCAATATACACATTCACAACATACAACACTCACAACACATATATACATCAAACAACATGCATGTATATAACATCACACAGAACACACATTTATAACTCATCACATAGAACACACAGGACACATACCACACACATATCACACACATATTCAGACATCACACACACACAACACATACCACGTATAAAACACACACACAGGCTGGGCGGTGGTGGTGCACGCCTTTAGTCCCAGCACTCAGGAAGCAGAGGCAGGAGGATCTCTGTGACTTCTAGTCCAGCCTGGTCTACAGAGTGAGTTCCAGGACAGGCTCCAAAGCTACACAGAGAAACCCTGTCTTGGGGGGAAAAAATACAATACACACATACCACAAATCACATGCCACCCAGAACACATACCATACATGACACATACACATCACACAGAATGCACACTACACATACGACACACAACATACAACATACATATAAATGCAACAACACTCACCTCAAGGGTAATGAGAGTTTATTCTGGAGTCAAACATGAGTGACCCTGGCACAGGACACAGAGCACAGACTCAGGCCACCCCACATTCCGTGCTCCACCATAGCAACAGTTTCCATCACGTTTCTATAATAATGGAACAAAGAAAGTCACAGATACCCGAGAAGTCTCATCTCCAGGCTACTGGATAGCCTTTCGGTTGGTAGAAGTGAGGGGTCTGTTTGTACATTCCAAAGGACTTACTTCACCCTCACAGTGAGAACATTCGATGACATCAGAGGTGGGTCATGAAGGGCCGTTAAAGGGGCTGGAAGGGATGACTTGTGATGATATGGCTTCGGACTTGCAACATTCCAACCTCTCCATGTCGTTTGAGTTCTAATCAGTTAATGAGCCTTGCAGAAGACTTAGTGGAAGGTGAGATGGTTTGGTTTTGTTCTGTTTTCCAGGAACTTGTGTTCATGCTTAACTTGTAAAATTATTTTCCTAGAATGCTGGACAGATGAAATTTACAGCCTGTAGCCTTTTCAAACTGCCTTCTTTTGCTCAACAATATGTTTTTGCATTCTCCATCTCTGTCTTTTGCAGGGGGCAGGGAGCTTGACAGCTCATTTATGCTGAACATGGAACGCTATCCCATTGCATGGCTGTACCATAGGCCCTCGTGTACCCCAGGCTGGCCCTGAACTCCTGATCCTCCTGCCTCAGTTTCCCCTATGCTGGGATTACAGGCGAGATGTGTGCCATCACATCTGTTTTAGGAGCTGCTGGAGACAGGGCTCGACCCACAGCCTCCGTAGTGGTGTGTGTGTGTGTGTGTGTGTGTGTGTGTGTGTGTGTGTGTGTGACCCTGGCCTGCTGCTTGACTTGTTCTAGGACAGCTCCATGAGACTATGGAACATTGAAAAGATCGACAAAATCCCTTTGGTGACTGAGAACAAGAGGTCTATGGGCTGCAAGGTGAAGCAGGTTGGTATCAGGTAAAGTTAAGCCCAGGGAAGACGTCCATTCACCTTCCCCAATTCAGTTAAACCCTGAGCAAATTCTCATTGGTCCCAGCCCCGTGCATGCTGAAGTCTCAAAAAGTGAGACACGTGTACAGACACAAGGAAAACACATGCTCACATGGTAAACACAGATAACTAGCCATATTGATATATATCACATTCTTGATATATATCCTAGGCTAACCTGAAACTCTTGATCCCTTACTCTTCTAAGTGCTGGGTTATAAGTATGCACACAGCTTATGATTTGTTTATTTATTGTGTTAGGGCTAGAGCCCAATGCCTTTCGCAGCATGGGCATAGGCAAGCACTGTCCCACTGAACTGTACTCCAACCTCTATTGTTATTATTATTATTACTGTTATTGTTATGATTTTGAGATAGCATCTCACTCTGTAGCCCCGGTTGGCCTGCAATTGGCAATGTAGATCGGGCTGACACTGAATTTACAGAGATCCCCTTGTCTCAGTCTCCTGAGCTCTGCCATTAAAGGTGTGCTCCCTGTTTGGTGTGTGTGTGTGTGTGTGTGTGTGTGTGTGTGTGTGTGTGTACATTCGTGCACTTGTGAGCACACTGGAGTGCCGGGATCCCCGAGAGGCCTCTAACATGGGCTGAGAGACCCTACCTTAGTCATTGACTTGATAGGGGGATAGCAAATGAGCATCCATACTTGCTGGGTGGTGTTTTGGCCAGAAAGAGACTCAGCATAGTGGAGAATGCCCAGATCCCACATGGTGGTTCATAACCATTTCTAACTCCAGTTTCAGGGAACCAGATGCCCTTAACAAGCACACAAACAGGTTAGTTCAGAAATCTGGAATGATAGCCAGGTGGCAAGGATCTATAACACTTAGCTATTCAGAAGGTTGAGGCAGGAGGATTTATGCTTAAGACCTGTCTGAGATATATATTGGGACCCTGTCTCAAAATTAAACACACACACACACACACACATACACACACACTGGGTGGGGGTTGGAGTGGGGCTGGGAACGTAGCTCCGTGGTCTAACACATGCAAGGTCCTGCCTGGGTTTAATTCCTCCCACTGAAAACCAAACAAAAACAGATCCTTACCAGCTTGCCCTGCTTCCTTGGAACTCTGTTGTGCAAGCCAGTACCCTGGGCACATCAAGGAGTCAGGCCACTCCTTGGGTCCCACAGTTCCACTCTGGACCACTCTGTCCAGCGAGCACTGGACAAGGGCTGGACACAACCCTGTCTCCCTGCTCCCAGGCATGTGGCTGTGTGAGTACCAGCCTTGTGCTCCCAGCCTGCTCTGGGCAGTCTGTAGGTTAGGAGACTCTGGAGAGGGGAGGCCTTGCCTTGGCACAGTTCAGGCTAGCTGGGTGGTGGGATTCCAGATTCCACTCCACAGCTTCCTCTCCTCTGACCTGCACATCGTTTCTGTTTTTGGAAAATGTCCCCGGCAGTGCAAAAGTTGTGACCAGTTCTTCTACGCCTTTGAGAGTGACTTCTCTTCTCAACTACCCAGCCAGTGTATGTTCTGTCGGAGAGAAGAGAGGAAATTAGGGTCTGTTTCTTCTTCATCATCACTGGAGGAGAGTAAGGAGAGCTGATGGCCGCTGAGCACCTGCTAAGTAGTTTGCTGCATTCTGCGGGGACCCGCTCTGAGTCCCTGCTCAGCTGAGTGGACCTATCAAACTGAGGCAGAGGCCAGGCCCTCACTAGACTCTCGGCATGGTGTTGCCTCTTTGACGCCCTCCCCCCAACCCTTTAAGGGTGAGCACTTTTAGTTTAAATATAGAATAAATCTAGATTCCTTTGGAAAACAAGCGTGGGGGAAATAGTAGGCGCAGTTTGGTCCTTGTGAGCTCTTACAGCCCGGCGTCCATCTCATTTTTAGGCTACAATTCTGGAGTCTGGAGCTGCTCTGTAACGTGGTCCTGGGACTGGTATGGGCACTTTTTTGAACATGTTTGTCAAGTGAATATGATGTGTGGCGTTCCCTCTGTGGAGGAGGATGGCAAGGCATCGTGACTGCTTCAGTTTGGATATGGTTTCTCCCTTCCCGGTTCAAGAGCTTGGTCCTCTGTGTAACGGTGTCAAGGGGCCAGTGGTTTCCTGCCTTCTTATGTGTATGGGTGTTTTGCCTGTACGCATGTATGTGCCTTGCATGTATTCAGTGCCCACAGAGGCCAAAGGATGGGTATAGAGTCCCCGGAAAAGATGGTCGCCAGCTACTTTGTGGGTGTTGGGAATTGAACCTCCGTCCTCTTAACCACTGAGCTATCCCTCCAGCCCACCTGCAGGCAGTTTTGGGGCCTCTTTCGTAAAGAAAACCACAATGAGTATATTCATCACCACCTTAGCCCTGGTGTGCTGTCCTCAATGATGCACACCTACCTATTACAAACAACTCTAGCCCAACGTTTCTGTCACTTTGCATTCACTTTTGCATAGAAGAGCTCAGCGAACGAGTCTCCCACTGTTGCAAGGCCAGAGGGATGCCCCTCGGTAGTGCTCGACTTGGTTGCCGAAGGCGAGGCTGGCATGGAAACCCCAGAGTGACAGGGGTGGGGAAGTGGGCGGGAAGCCTGGATGGGGAGGGCCTTGACTGGATCATACAACTGAAACTCCCACACACATCGTGTGGGAGTCTTCAGATCACCCCGAGCCGGCTCAGGATCCCTGCCTGTCTCTGGCTCCAGAAGTTAAGGACCTGGGCTGGCCGCAGGATGGCCGCAGCTCACTTTGCACCGAAGGAACTATGCAGCCAGCATAGCCACACGGGGAGTTGGGGGACTCTGCTGAGATTTCCAGCTGACGAACTCTAAAGACCCGCGGAGCACAAACAGATGATGCTACTGTGACCCGGAAACCAGGCCCGCCCCATCCTGCTCCTTGCTCGCTCGGCTTAGCGAATTACAATTCCCAGAGTTCTTTCAGATGCTCGCACAAGCGAGGAATCGCAAGGCGCGCGCGCACCACCACCGGCGCCGGAACGTGTGCGCATGCGCAAAGCAAATGAGGTCACTAGAAATGGGAACTGGTTTCTCGCCCCACTCAAGCAGGCGGCGCCGTGGCTTAGTTGGTTAAAGCGCCTGTCTAGTAAACAGGAGATCCTGGGTTCGAATCCCAGCGGTGCCTTACCTGAGTGTTCTACCTCTCATTTTTACAAGACTTTACGCTGGACCGCTCACTCGGGGAAGACAATTTAGCTGATGTTGCCTTGTTTCCTGCTAGCCTTTGCCTCTTGAGGAGGTCGCAGGTCCTGTCCCTCGTGTGCTCCCACAAGAGGAGCCTTCTTGGCTTCCCAAACCTTGCATAGAAAGCTCCTCTACTTGCAGCCGCGCCGCGGGTATAACCCGCTGCATATGGAGGACTGTTTGCAGAGGCTAAGAGTCTCAAAAGAGGACCGTGTAGTATCAGCTCCGACCAGTCCATCTGCAGAACGCATGAAACAAACAAGCAAACCCAAAAAACTGTGGACGGGGATTGGTCCCGAGTGGCACGGTGCTCTAGTGTGGTGACTGAGTCTTTGTGATCAAACTTTTGGAGGGTGGGGAGGGTTTGAAGTTTAAAGAATGTTCCCGGGGATACACCTAAATCCAAACAAACTAAGCAATGATAGGCCCCGCGAACTTTGTGACGCAAGGCTTAGGTTCCCACCGCAGATATTCTTTGATCCACAATTGAGGTTACAACCCTATAAACTATTTTAAACCATCTTAAAGACTGGTGAGATGGCTCAGTCTTTAAGATGTCTTGCAGCCATCCCTGATTCCCCCGGTTCAATCCCTGGGTCTAACAGGGTGGAAAGCAAGAACCTGCCCCCCCCCCCCGATAATTTTCTGGCCTGCGGGTCCACATGCTCACAATAAATAAATAAATGTAATAATGTAAAAAATGTCTTAAGCTGAAAAGTGACAAAGTAGTTGTGTTAACCCACCATTAGCCCACACAGCAAAATGTGCACGGGCCTTTGCTTAGATAGGGCTGTTGGGAGCGGATTCTGGGGCATCTCTCTAGCTGGGGAAAAGACTAACACTTAAAACACTGGTTTCTACTTGACCACTGTGGTCAAGCTGACAAATACAGGGTTGAATTATTGTGAGCTGGGATGAACAAGAACATTTACTGGTCCCAGAGGCAATTCTTTCTGCTTCTCCTATAAGTATGGGTTTACTGTGTAACTCTGTTTTTGTTTGTTTGTTTGTTTGTTTGTTTCGGTCAGTTCCTGCCCTTTGCTGAAATGATAGGTCATCCGTCAAAGTGTAATCCCGTGAGTAATAAGGAAACCTCACTGAGGTTGGGGAAGTGTTCTGTGCTTGTCTTTGCAGGAAAACAGAAATTAGCCATCATCAGAAGCCAAAAGAGCAGACATGTAGATGCCTACAGAAGAAAGGACCATCAAACGAAGAAGAATCGGACTTATGGTACCCATATCTATCTATACAAGGTAAAAATCTCACTAGCTGAGAACCTATGCCTCCTTTCATCCCAGTACAGTAGTCCAAATTCACTTAAAAATCAAAGCTGGCTTTGGAGTTGGATCTGGCTCTCCTTCTCTAAATCCAAGCATGTTGTTAAAAGAAAAATTTAGAATTTCTGTCCCATATCAGAAGAGCCAACTGGTGTGAGTCAGAAAAATAAATAAATAAATAAATCTAGGGACTATTACTGTCAAAACTCTGTAATCTCTCAAAAAAAAAAAAAAATCCTAATTTTCCTCATCCTTATTTTCATCCTTATTGATACCTTTCCCAGTATGCATACCTATAAAATTCAAACTTTCTGTGTTGGCTGGGCATTGGTGGCGAACGCCTTTAGTCCCAGCACTCCGGAGGCAGAGAGGGAGGTGGATCTCTGTGAGTTCGAGGCTCAGCCCGCTCTACAGAGCGAGTTCCAGGTTAGGCTCTAAAGCTACGGAGAAATCCTGGGTGAGAACTTGTTTAAAAGAAGTTTAAAGAATACAGGGAGCTGGGTATTGGTGGCTCACACCTTTAGTCCCAGCACTCGGGAGGCAGAGGCAGAGGCAGGTGTCTCTGTGAGTTCGAGGCCAGCTCTGGTCTACAGAGCAAGTTCCAGGTCAGGCTCCAAAACAAAACAGAGAAACCTTGTCTCAAAAAATGAATGTTTAAGTCTTCCACAGTGAACAATAAAACAATCTTTAAAGTCTCCAAAAAGAAGAGAACTAATATACACCACTCAAGGAATCGGAATCAGTGGAATCAGTTTGGGACTAAAACTGCTTTAGACAATTCCAGATTAGCTAGCTGAGGAGCTGAGGTGATGCACCTTATAACACTCTGGCCAGAGTTTCAGATAAGATAAGAACTGTAGACATTGCTCCTCAGAGACTAGCTACAAATGTTACAGCTAGTTCTCCTCTAGTTCCTCCCACTGAGCCACGCCCCCAGCCGGTCTCTTCTGAATACTTCAGCATCTCTTTGTTTAGCTCCCGTATATAAGCTAAGGATGGCTTCAGGCAAGGCCATCGAACAGGCCCTGGTGTTCAAATGTCAGCCCCACTTGCTCCAGAGAAAGCAAAAGGAAGCGGAGACAGAAAGGCGGAAAGGAACTCAACGAGAAACTGTGCTGGGAAGTAGAGAAGCGAGCATCTCGTCCATCCTCAGAGGCACTGATGTGTCCCTCGGCTTCCAGACTTCTGCAGAGCAGGCAGGGGAGCACAGGGTGAGAGGCCTCTATTCCGGATGTCCTTATTGCTTGAGGGGACATGCTGGTTCACATGAGATGATTACTCCTGCCAGGGCGGGGGGTGGGGGTGGGGGATGGGGGGGAATGGGGGGTGAAGGGGAGAGGAGTTATCTTCCTGAGAAGTGCCATGATTCTCAGTCTGTGTCAGCTCACTTCTGAAGGCCTGGTCTTCAGGGAGGTGGCATCAAGGTTGTAGGAGATTGACCAGGCCGGACCTGGTAGAAGGGGCTTAGCTCTTGGGAGGTACTGTCCCTGAAAAGATCTGTATAGACCCTGTGGGAATGGGGTGCTGGAAAAGCAAACAACACTAGCCTGATGCCCGGATATCTGCGGTGTCCTGTTTCACCATGAATCTGATACACTAGGCTTGTACATTAACCACACCAAAGGCTGAGCTAACAGGGCTGCCAAATTTGAAATGTTTGGATTCTAAAAACTGAGAGCTAAATTAACCTTTACAAATAGCCAACTTGAGGTATTTTGTTATAGCAATGGCTAACAGAATAAAATGGTGTTCCTTTCTTTTCGTTTCTTTGATTACATTTTATTTTGTGTTCTGATGAAGTAGGACTGAGAATTCCAGCGCACACGTTTGGAGAATTCCAGCGCACACGTTTGTGTTCTGATGGGATAGGACTGAGAATTCCAGCGCACACGTGAGGATCAAAGGACAACTTGTGAGAATCCGTCCTGAGCCCAGAACACAGAACCATTTGCTGTTGTGGTTTGAATAAAAATGACCCCCGTTGGCTCATTTGCATGTTCAGTCCCCATCAGAGAAACTGGAAAGGATTAGGAGGTGTGGCCTTGTTGGGGGAGGTGCGTCACTGGGGGTGGGCTTTGAGTTTCAAAAGGTATGCCAGATCCAGCCTCTCTCTCCCTCCCTCCCACCCCTCTT